ATTAGCCAACCCCGCGCCTGACCCTTCAGGGCCATGGGGAAGAAATTCGCCATGACCCTGTCGTCACCCCCGGCGGCCTCGATCCCGGTCGTGTAGATCTGGAGAAACTCGGCGGGGTTGACGCTTCCGTCGTATTTATCGGTGATGGTGGGCCGGAACCTTGGGGGCCAACGGACGTTCCGAAGGCTCGCCACAAAGGCTCGACAGCCGGCACCGCCAACCGGGGACATGGGGGGCCGGCCCCCGTGCCCGGACCGAAGTGGCGCTCCGGACGAGGAAGCGCCCTCCGTTGCGTGGGCGGCGCGACGATCGTCGCGCCGGCGCTCGATGTCGAGCTGGGCATCCAGCCCCCCACGCACATCTTCTTGGGTCGGAGGCGTTGACGAGGGAATGGCGGATGAACGGCGGGTAGCGGCCGCCGCTCGCCGCGCCCTCCGCCTCGACGACGTGGAGCCGGCGGCGGCAGCGCCAGAGGTTTCGGTGGCGGAGGACCGCCTGCCGGCGCCTAGGCGCTGCTGTGCCGTCATGACCAAATCGGCCACGTCATCCAGCCAACGTCGGGCTGGAGTCTCTGGATCGGGGACGACGGGCGGGTGACGCAGGAGCGCGCCTGCAGCCTGGAGCGCGCCCTGGGGCGTGCCGCCATCGCCGTAGATGAGGCGGCGACGCGCCCCGTCTCGCCGTCCTCCCCCGTCGCCCACGTGTGGCGAAGTCGCGGATCCTCCGACCTCCCTGAGCGCCTCCCCCCGCTCAAGATTTCGGCGAGAGGGGGACGGTGGGGTGCGAGCCCGACGGCGCGGGTTCTGCTCCCCGTCGTCACCGCTAGCGTTCGGAGAGAGGCTGTGCGCCACTGCCCGTTCGGCCATTGGGCTGAGCGAGCGAAGCTTGGCGCACACGAAAGAGGACGAGGGCTTCGAAAAACACGCGCGCCCCCTACCTGGCGCGCCAGATGACGGAGCTTGGGGCTCCTCACCGGGAGACCGCGCAGGCCCCCTTTGCCGGTTCGGCCGGGGGCGCTATGTGAGGTTCTTCGCCCTCGATCTGAGGAATGTCAGTGAGAAAAAGCGCACGAGACACGGGCGACGTAGACAGGTTCGGGCCGCTGAGAAGCGTAATACCCTACTCCTGTGTTCTGGTGGATCTGTGTGTGAAGGAATACAGAGAGCTCCAGCGCCAAAGAGCTCGAGAGCCAGAGAGTTCTGGCTCTCCGATCCCGTCGCCAGCCTCCGACCTCCCCTTCCTTCCCTTTTCTTTTAGGCCAGGGCCTCCTTTTTTTTTGTTAGGGGTCACCACATGGGCCTCTAGATGCCTAAGAAAAGAAACATGCTTTTTACAATGAGGGCTAATCTACAGCCGGAAATGACCTCTGACAAGCAGTACACACGCCTCCTGCTCCGCTCCTCAGCTCTCCCGGTGGACGCCCGTTTCAACCTTCATTCAATGGCCGGTGACTTTCTTGCCATGCTTGCGCTGAAGCCTGGAATGGATCTGACCGGGACTGACATACCAACTCCAGGAGTCAGCACGCCAGCTCTGGCTAGAGACGAGAGCCAGGAAGCTCTCATCATTCCGACGGGACGGGGCGAGGCGTGCGACAGGCCGCCTGTTGCCACCTAACCCGCGATCTGACCGGTCTGTGACCGGTCACATACCGCGACTGGTCACAGACCGGATAAGCACGCGCTGCGCCGCATTGAATGCGGCGTGGCGCGCTCGTCTAACCCGCTATAAATGCGGTTAGGTGAGCGCCGCTGTGCTCACCTAACCCACACACGTGGCGCCAACACCACAGGGGGTCGGGGTGCCCCAGCCCTCGGGGCCGAAACGGGAGCGACCCGACCCCTCGGGGAGACTGAGGGAGGGGTGGCCACGTCACCCTCGGGCCCGACCCCCCCGAGGGGGTCAGGCCACGTGGGTGACCGCGGCTACCCAAGCCTCTAGTCACGATACCCCCGGCCCCATGTCACCGACAGTATTGATGGCGTAAATTTGGCATTTAACAGCCATCAACATGGTGTCCGCCTGTAAAACTATAAGGGGAGAGCCATGACCATCAAAAGGGGGTTGGAACCCAGAGAAATAGAATCCATAGCTACCTGCTGCGAAGTTCTTAAGAAATCCATAGCTACCAGATGTGAAGTTCTTAGGAAATCCGTAAGAGAGGAAGAGGAACTGCTATGAGTCTGTATAAAACTTGTAAGATCCGTCTCCACCAAGAGAGAAATTGTCAACATAATAGGAGTAGGGTATTAACCTCTGGGTGGTCTGAACATGTATAAACCCAAGCTCCCACTCTAGCGTGACACCCCCCCCACCCCGGGCCGAACTCACAAAAGGAGGTCCCGCTGGATTCCCAATATTGGCATGCGTACGCTGATAGAAGTGATATAGTACATATTAATCTATCTTGTTAAAATTATTTTTATAATATCTATTTGTGTGGCGTGAAAAATATTTAGGGGACATCCCCTCAAAGGTTTAAAATACATTCCCCAAGGATTGAATTTAATATACAACTCGCTTTTAGACATACGATTATAATTTGTATATGGCTATTGGATCAACTAGGACGGAAGCCCCCGCACTTGCGCGGGCACCATATTAATGTTCCATAAAATAATTTACCATAATAATTGAATATTTAATTTTAGGTGAGTTAAAAGTTCCGATCTTTTCCCACAAAAATTATTATGAATTTGTTTTTCGAGCATTCTTTAATAATTTTGTTGAAAGGACCAAACTTAAGTTATTAAAACTATGGAACATTATTTCTGCTCCGGGCCTGGTGGAGTCTTGGGGACGTGAGTCATGACGTCCTCACATGGAGCCCTAGACTCGCAGCCGCTTTGATCCCCTCTCTCTCCGATGCCCGCACCGATGACGATGGAGAGGGGGATCTTGTCTCTGTTCTGGTTTAGTAAGCTTTATGATTTCTTCATCACAAAGTTTTTTCAATTATATCTATTTGCAAGCCTAGAGTTTAGATTTGTCTTTCGTCTTCTTTCTTTTTGTTAGTGGCTTCTTCGTTTGTGAGGTTGAGGACCTAGAGAGTCTTGTCTGTCGGGTTGTTCACGGTCCAATTGGCAATGTAGTCCTTAAGGTTTGGATCACTGATTTGTTTCTTTGATGGCATCAGCCTGAGGTCCTATTAGAAGAGTGAAGATGATGGCTAGTCATGGATCCCCCACGACAAAGAGTGGGGGTTTGTCAAACATCAACTTTCAATGTGCATATTGATCAATCAATCTTCTTGTGCTGCTAGTTGCTAAAGTTTACAATGAAATACAATGAACTAACATAAAAGATAGGGAACGTTTTCGCATGCTAAAATGGTGGGACCACTGGTTTCAAGAATGAATTAAGGTTTGATTTTTTTTAATTTATTTTAAGAACTTTTAGAATTTTGTTTAATTTCTTAGATGCTCTGATAACCGGATGTGTAGTTTAATACCTACCGGTCTTTGGTAATTTTTCTACAATAGTTGGGTGGCATGTAAAGGGTGAGAATATGGCAAAAAAAACTATGGAGGGATTTTTTATTTGGAATGTTATTCACACTTAGAGTTTTTTTTTCAACACTGTAGATATAATTTAACTATGCATGAGTTCGTGAAGTGATGATATTGTGTGTACTCTCGATTTTAATTGAATTTGTTTTTGATAGTTTGGATGGCATGCGGGTCATGATAGGACTGAAGAACGTATTTTTTACGAGTTAAACATAGCTAATCAACAAATGAATTCAACGAATAATCAATCTGAATGAATTCAATGATACAGAACAATAAAAAGTGATAAATGATTTTAAAGCAATAATTATTTTTTGTGTGATGAGAATTCTCTTACCTACAAAATATCTGAATAAGGCCGGGTTTAATTCCCAAGTTTTTCTTTAAACTTCCAACTTTTCCATCACATCAAAACTTTCATACACACACAAACTTCTAATTTTTCCGTCGCATCGTTCCAATTTCATTCAAACTTTCAATTTTGGTGTGAACTAGACACACCCTAAAAGATGGGAGATGGGGAGACCGGGGCCGAGTTTAGTTTTCTTCAAACTTCCAATTTTTACATCACATCAAAACTTTCCTACACACAAACTTTTAACTTTTCCGTCACATCATTCCAATTTCAACCAAGCTTTCAATTTCAGCGTGACCTGAACATACGTTAGATGGAAAAGCTAATTGGTGAGGGTTATCCCTGCACAAACACTTCCTGCGTTTTTTTTCTTCCGATTCCTTCCAGTCTTCCACTACAGCACTACTTGTCCGGGTTGCATATGTCACATCATTTTCAAGGTGGGACCCAGGGGATATAAATCATCGGAGGCCCCCATGCCATGCTGCCATGCACTTCTTTGTTTTTCTTGACTTTTCTATTGTGTACGTAAGGAGGTCCACACCATTTTTTAAGTTTGCATGTGTCTAAATTGTTTTATTTCAAAAACTATATTACAAATATACTTGAATAAATTCTACTTTCTACTTTGGCCCACTTTAATACAGTAGAAAGATATTGAATATTTTTTCTTTCTGAGCTTATTATTTTATTTAAAAACCAGTTATATATTTTTTTTAGAAAACAAATCTACGTTGAAAGTTTACACGTGTAAAGTTTATATATAATAAGTTACAAATATGCATACATAAAGTTTCTATGTACAAAATTAGTATATATAAAGTTTATACGGATAAAGTTACATATATAAATTAGTAGTATACATGTTAGGCTGTAGTTTAAAACTTCATAAAACATGTAGGTAGAATAGAGGCTCTGAATGAGAAAGGAAATATATTTTACTAATGACAGATTAATTAGGCTTAATAATTTTGTCTTGCAGATTTCTGGTGAAATCTGTAGTTTGTTTTATTATTAGACTACGGTTAATACTTCAAATATGTATCCGTATATCCGATGCGACAAACAAACTTAAAATTCTTCCCAACGCCTTATTCGATACCGTGAGAGAGAGAGTGAGGACAAAGAAGATGAGATGAATGGAACAGGAAGGTGAATCTATCTTTCTTATTTCTTAATTCTTTTAAAGTGTAAAGTAATGATCGGAGAGTACAGTTTACGCTTGTAAACTTCAAATACAAATTACTTGAACCTGCCAGCCGGCGAAATTAAACAAGTTATTTTGAACGACCTTGATTAATTACGACAAGTAGTTAAATGAGTAAATAGCAGTAATAATAACAACCAAATTAAGGTGTACACACAATAGCGTAGCTAGTCGTCGATGCCGTAGTGCTTCCTGAGGAGGCCGATGAAGTCGTAGATCTCCTCCGGCGAGCGGAGGCTGCCGGCGACGCTGTCCCGCTCCATGCACCGCCGCGCCCACGCCGCCACCCGCGGGCACTCCTCCTCCACGCTGAACCCGCCGTACCTCGCGAAGCTGTACACCCACGGCATCATCGGCACCAGCGCCACGTCCACAAACCCAAACTCGCCGCCGAAGAATTCCTTCTCCCCGAGCTCGCCGTCGAGCGTCCGCAGCGCCTCCACCAGCTCGCCGCGCGCCCCCGCCGCCGCGCGTACGCCCTCCTCCCCCTTGACCTTCCACAGCCGCGTCCCCACCGGGTACACCTTCTTGTCGACGTAGTCGGCCCAGAACCTGGCCCGGGCGCGCGCGTACGGGTCGTCGGCGGCGGAGGGGAGGAGGCGAGGGGTGGCGTCCGGGAAGGCGTCGTCGAGGTACTCGAGGATGGCGAGGGACTCGCAGACGGCGCGGCCGTCTCCGTCGCCGTGGAGGAGGACGGGGACCTTGGCGTGGATGGGGTTGGAGCGGAGGAGGAGGTCGCTCTTGGCGCCGAGGAGCTCCTGCTCGGAGTAGTCGTAGGGGAGCTTCTTCTCCGCCAGCGCGATGCGGCACCGCTGCCCGAACGGGCTCGCCCAGAAGTCCAGCAGCACAAGCTCGCCCCCCGCCATTGCTGCTGTCACTTTCTCTCTAGCTTTGCTTGCTTTGCTTAGCTTACCTTCTTCCTCTCTCCAACGCTTGATTTGATTGTGCAGTTTGTGCGTGTGGCTCAGCGATGAGGGATAGGCTCTGCTTTTATATATAGGGCTTCTACATCGATCGATAAATCAGTTGTCGTTTGTTTGATTGTACGTGCTACTCGGATAACTATAGTGATTCTAGAGCTAATGCGTGCAACGAGCATCGTTCCGAGAGGGACGTATGTATAAAATTTGATAATATATTACTTTTTTTCATATTTTGTGATTATATACATGCATGAGATTAATTTGTAAAAATATACCCAATCCGCAGAACGGCTACGCGGGAACGAGGACGACCTGCAGAATAGGGATGTGGGAGCGAAACCCAAGCCGGTCCAGCGGAACCGGGATACGGGACCGAGCCGGTCCCGCAGGCCGGGGATGCAGTACCGCGCTAGTCCTGCAGGAGCAACGTGGTTTTTTGGGCGATGCCCGGAGCTGGCACGCTCCCGCATAATGGATGCGTGGGACCAGCCTCTTTCCCGCACGCCAGATGTGCGGGACCGACTCTTCCGCATGCATCATTCCCCCAAACAGCGAACACATCTCCCGCACGGAAAACAAAGCAGTCCATTAGCACGTGATTAATTAATTATTAGATTTTTTTTTCAAAAATGGATTAATATGATTTTTTTAAGCAACTTTCATATAGAAACTTTTTGCAAAAAATACACCGTTTAGCACTTTGGAAAGCGTGTGCGGAAAAAGGAGATGAGTTAGAAAAATTGGGGGAATAACACAGCCGCCTACGCATTCCCGCGTAGCCGTTCCGCGGTACCGCCACGCGGCCGAGGGCGCCATCGCTCCCGCACATCGGCACTGCGGGACCGGCTCGGTCGCGCATCCCGGTTTCACGCGACCGGCTCGGGTTCCGCTCCCGCTTTCCCAGTCTGCGGTTTGCCATCGCTCCCGCGCAACCGTTCTGCGGATTAGGTATATTTTTGCAAATTAATCCCAGACATGTATATAAACGTAAAATATGAAAAAACAAAGTATATTTTCAAATTTGATTCTAAAATAGCATAACCTTCCATTCCTCTTTAAACTAGAGAGATTATCCCCTCCCATTTCTATTGAAATAAACGGATATGCCTTAGCAGAAACATGAGGCATAGAAGCTACCAACAGGAAATAAAAGGCCGTTTTCAGTTTTGACTTTAGACAAACTGTGGATATGAGATTCTATTACTGTGTGGCAGGGAAGATTTAGCAGTTTTTGCAAAAAAAATCCTTGGTAGAAAAGAGGAGATATGTGCTATTTTACATCACAGAGTGCTAAAGAATACTTTTCTGACAACTAATTTCCATCGCCATGCGCATAGGTGGTTTGTCGGTTTCGCTTGTTTTGCTATGGTCTGTTGTTTAGATGACCAGAGTTGGGTTTTGTGACGGTTTTTCATCAATAAATCGTATAGTTGTATGGTTTTTCTTCTAATTTTTTGTTCTTCTTAATATGAAACAGGAACTCCATGTCCCCCTTCTCAAAGTTTACCTCGAAAACACCTATAGTTTATACCATTGTATCACGAAATATTTCAGAAATAAAATCTAAAGATATCATTTTACTGTTGAAATCAGAATCCTGACAGAAAATCCAATACCCAATAGTATTGCCGTTGTCGCATTCTGGAAATTACGACGAGAGAATCCTAGTTATCATCCTAATAAGGGAATCTCTAATGCTAGTTCACGTACCAAAGATCGGCCATGGACCCACAACAAAAAAATACCTGTTCGATTATTCTTTGAGCAACGCTTTTTCACATAATTTAGGAATGATGAGACCCACGAGAATAATTCTCTATTTTATCTAGTACGAATACATGGTGCCGCCCCCTCCCCTGGATGCTCCATCTGGCCGTCACGTTGGTTCGAACCAAAATGTTTGGTTTAGACGTAGGATTACTAGCTACTCCCTTCGTCACATAAAACCTAATCTATGGCCCTATTTTTTCTCCAATAAAAGTTGGATTAAATTTTGGATACTCGTGCCACGTTTTTTAAACTGTTAAACGGTGCATACGTTTTTTAAACTGCTAAACGGTGCATTTCGTGCGAAAACTTTATATATGAAAGTTGTTCTAAAATATCAGATTAATCTATTTTTTAAGTTTGGAATAATTAAAACTCAATTAATCACATGTTATTACAACATTGTTTTGCGTAAAACACTTAATCTTCATCTTCATCTTTATCTTCAGGACTTTTAAACACCACCTATGTCATCCATCCTAATATAGCAAATTTAAATAGTCCCTATTCATATTCGTTATTCGTTGTATTACAATGGATCAATTATTTATGTAGATTATTTTTTTTAAGGACGGATGGAGTATTGCTCACGCTTGGTTAGTGACCGGGCCAAAAATATACAGAGCCCGGTTAAGTATTTGCTTAAAGAAGTATATGCTTTTAATTTTTATAACAATATCAAAGTAATATTAAGTGGCCAGATTGATGCCATTTTTAACTATACCATTTTTTGGCAAAGTTGCCAAAAAAATATCTATATTTAGTTTGTTGTCAAATTTAGTAAATACATAAGAAATCCTACCAAAAATTTTGGTAATATTGTCAACTTGCCAAAATTTTAGCATTATCAAAATTTGGTAAGGTTTATTTTAGCTACAGTCTACACAGATCCTAATTATGATTTCATTAATCTTAGAATATGTCAGCTCTTTAGAGGTAGTCGTAAGAGTAGCGAGTACGCGTGTGCGCTATATGAGTGAGTGCACACGAATTTACTCCATATGAGTGCATGTTTGTACCATGTTTGAAAAAAATATATTAATTAATTATGTGTTCACCGACGAGACGCAGACTGTCGCCGGCTAGTGGCTCCGCAGCTCGGTTCAAAGCACGTTCTCCTGGTTTGGCTTGGGTTTACAGAATATTAAATATTAAAAGTAGTCAGGAGAATATTAAGATTCTACAACGTAGGATGAAGATGATCATATTCTGATAGCAGTTAAATAAAAGGATGCTTTACCAGGATTCCACTGTAGGAACTAATTTAACTTCTATCATCATGCATGTATCTTCGATACACCTAAAATAATATCATTATATATCTGGCACCTAAAATAACATAGTAATAAGGGTGTGTTTAGTTCATGCCAAAATTGAAAGTTTGGTTGAAATTAGAACGATGTGACGAAAAAGTTGGAAGTTTATGTGTGTAGGAAAGTTTTGATGTGATGGAAAAGTTAGAAGTTTGAAGAAAAAAATTTGGAACTAAACTCGGCCTAAGTACAAAGGTATTACGAAATTATTTTTTCTTAACTAAACATTTCGTCTTATCGTCAAAATTAGAGGATGTCAAAGAAAAAAAAGCAAATATACAGCTGGTGTCACGTTAAATGTACAATTCTGTTGACACACTTCAATTTTCATGCTTATGTAAGGAACACGAGCACGCATACTTATATTAAGATATTAAGAGATTATATTGGCTGGCTGCCCAACCTAGATTCCATGATGATGGATATGTTATTTTTTCCCCTTACCATGCATTGCCAAAATGGAGTTTGAAGTTCATATGCACGATATATATCATCGTGCATGGGACACGAGGATGCCTTTCTCCCAAACTAAAAGGTTGACGATTTAAAAATTGTTAAGCATGAGCAATGATGCGAGGACAAATTCCCGTCAGGTTGTGGCAGGACGATATAAAAGATTTATCTGGTGATCCAGATGTTCTTGAGTTTGGCAGCAATATAATCAGATCTTAATGTTTTTAAATTGATCACCTGTTCTTGTAGAGATGCTGCTAGACCTGCCACGATTATTTGGAGAGGGGGTGTTTGATTGCAGGGTAATGTTTAATAAAATGGGTTATCTTCGATGCTATCGGTTGTGAGCTTGTGGTAGGGAATATCAGGATCAGGCGATGTGCGTGGATCAGTTCCCCATTTTGCCAAGAATTTACCAAGCAATGTACCAAGCCCTTACCTTTAGAGGGGTTAGTAATCCTACGATGTCTTAAAGGGGATCTTCTATAATTTCGCACATAAGGGGTTATTTCTTGGTTTCGTCCAGTCATTAATAACTTGACTATTTTTAGATAATAGTAGATAGAAAGAACGCTCGTAAGGAGTCCTATTGAAACCAAGAAATATAGGCCTGCTTGCCATCCACACCAGAATAGATAGAGTTTTCCGAAGAAACCTGCTAGTGGAGGAAGGCCTCCTAGGGATAAGAGACATAGGGCTAAAGAGAGAGCCAAAAAAGGATCTTTCGTGTATAATCCTGCATAATCTCGAATGTTATCAGTTCCGGTACGTAGACCAAATAATACAATGCAAGCAAAAGTTCCTAGATTCATGGAGATATAGAAAAGCATATAAGTTATCATGCTTGCATATCCATCATTTGAGTCTCCAACAATTATTCCAATAATTACATATCCGATTTGCCCTATGGACGAATATGCAAGCATACGTTTCATGCTTGTTTGAGTAATAGCAAGGAGATTCCCCAATATCATGCTAAGAATCTTTGGCTTTTTTTTTCCCGAACGACCAAACAGATTGGATGACGTTACATTGATAGGAGTTAAATTACATAGAAAAGGAAAAAAAAAACTGTACAATTCTAACTACAAACAAGCTTGCACGCCAGACCACCTTTCTATTCCTCATGGTAATAATCTCGCAATATGTTTCGCGCCAGCCAAGCTCCAATAGCCTAACTATGCTTTGGCTTTCCCCTGTCCCTCTAAAACAAAAGCATTTCCTGTGGTTAGCCATGAAGGACAGGATCCAAACCACCGAACAACTGAAACAAAGAAACTGGGAGGGCTCTGAGTATTGTGAGCTGTGTGGGAATATAGAAAATGCTTAGCATGTAGATTTTAGATGTCCAATTGCTAGATTTGTATGGTGCATTTGCAGGGATGCTTTGAAAGTTATTTTCTCTCTAGTGTTACATGTTTCTGATGTGTCTGTGAATAGAATGAGTTTTGTAATCTTAGCTGCGATCAGCTGGCAGCTGTGCATTACCTGGAATGACATGATCAGTCTCTGGGAGGAATAAGGAAAGATCCTAGTACTCCAGGTAGGGCTCTAGAGAAGATTCCCTGAAAGAGCTAAGATAACTAAATTGATTAGAGATAAGAATGTTTCGACCCCTCTAACTGTGATTTATGGACTTGTTTCCTTGTTATAACAGTGGAGGATTCTAATGAAGCAAAAGAAGGCCCTGAAGCTGGAGTGCGTAATATCCTGGTTGCTTGAAGCGGCAGGCCGGATGCATCCACAAAGTGAGCGTTGAAGTCATCGCTGGCCTGATGTGTTTTCCATTTCCTTTTGCTCTTCTGTTAGTGAGTTGAGTTTTGATTAGCCAGTCACTGTCCCAAAATGAACTTATGTGAGTTGGTTGCTGTGTCTGTCTCTGTGAACTGTGCTAAAATGAACGCTGGTCTCCCCAGCCACAAACTTTGCTTTCAATCAAAAGCAGGGCATCTTGCCTTTTGTCTAAATAAAAAGTTTGCCCAAGAATTTGGTCATGGATAAGTTCCCCAGTGTAATGGAGTACGAAGTAACCACCAGTAATAAACCAGTCAGTTCATCGGGATCGACCTCATCAAGAGTTCGAGAGAACTGCTAAAAGTTTGGGTCCCTCAAAATTAACTGCTGGGCGTGACCCTTCAATTTGGACAGCTCAGCTATTCACCGGATTGATCAGATTTATTGCTTTACCTAGAGGATTAAGATTATTTTTTATGCGAAGACGACAGCTTTTATTCCTACTACCATCAGGCGGTTACATATCAGATCGCAAGTGTGGAATGGAGAATTTGGGGGCAAAAAGATCGACACTTCTACGGCTCGAGACGGTCGACCCGCCTCATTCAGCTCGCATCTTGATTCTTGACGAGCAAACTGAAAATTCAGAGAAAACCATCCTAATACTCCCTCCGTCCTTAAAAATATAGCTAATTTTGTAGTTCAAATTTATACTATATATACCCCGTATATATATTTTGGGACGGGGAGAGTAGCACTCTAGCTTTTTGCTAGAAGCCTAGAACTTAAACAACAGTATGGCTGTCCGCCACAGCTATATTCATAGCTTGGCCATATCCTAGCAGACTAGAAGAACAGTACATCTGCAGGTTGTTGCCTCCACTGCTAGAGGGTCAGAAATTTCTTATAATTTCTATATCCAGTAAACATGGAAGGCACCACCACAGGATTAGGAGTACAAATATGCATCATGATTGCCTTTATGTACATCGTGTTTTCTTCTGGGCAGCTACACTATAACACAAACGTGTTCAGGGACGCGTACCTGAAGGGACGGCTATGCGTTGCTCTGTGACCCTATCTGTTCCTCAATCTGCACCATAATCCTTTCAGCATCCATCCACCAGTCTGCGTCATCACAATCCTTGTCCTGCGCGCATACATGGATGGCAGTTTCTGTGATAGCACGTTTGGAAATACTAGCGGGAAGAAGAAGAAGAAGACAACAGAAGAGACTACCAACTTGGTCACGTGTGTCAGGACCATGATCGGTGTTCTCGATGCTGTCAGCAAATTTCACCGCTTCTTCCCACCAGCTCGGATCATCCTCACCGCTCTCTGTAACTGATTTCGTCCCATTGCAAAGGTACTCATCATTCCTGTTCCTCCCCTCAATGTTGATCTCTACAACTTCCCCCTGATATTCCCTCTGGGCTGAATCGGATATCGAGCTGAGCTCAGGAATCACGTCCCAGGGAACAGGGCGCAATGGAGAACGGTAACCTATTCCAAAGTGATGATGATAAGAGAAAAAAGGATCATGTATAAGTGAGAACTTATGGAGTATCTTCCCGTGCTTTACCTTGGCAGTCAGGGTCATAACACTTTTGGTAATATGCAGCTCTCTGGAATTCAACAATATACATTACTGTTGCACAAGCACGGCTAGTGATTAGCTAATGTGAATAGGACCAATAATATATTCGAACGATAGAACGGCATGGAGTGAGGTTGCATGTCAGTGATTCGGATATCATGGTAGCATAAACTAACAATTTGCATAATTTTGTTATCACAGCGTTATTCTGTTCAAATAAATAGAGATATTATGAAATCAACTTACAATGCAGTTAACTATTTTGCACCGTAGTAAACAGGTGAGGAAACAAAACACAAGATTGGTTTGCTTAACAGACATGTAAAACATTTCCAGATAAAGTGTCAAACATTAAATAGAAGATATAAGAGAAGAAAACGAAAAAGATAAAAACCACTATACGGTGCATGCGTTTTTACAAAAAAAATACTGACAAGGAATAAAGAAATAACAAAAGCATGTGATAGCAAGAGCAAATAGTGAAGTAGGTATCATAATAAGACTGTAGAAGCATAAATATAACTCTCCTTTTTTCTACTCATTGCACAAAATTTCCATCAGCATTAACGAAGTAATGCACTAATGTACAAGAAGATTGAACAGAACAAAGGTAAATTGTTACCATGATTGCTTTTATGTTCTCTTCCAATATGCTCACAGTATCTACTCCTTGACATACTATAAATCATCAAACCATAATGTGAAAACCAGTACCAGCATCTAATTTTTCCTGCAGAGATGGGTGCAGAAATCTTTAAGATATAGTGAAAGTGTGCAGCTCGTATTTCCTGGGATGCAGCGTTGTTAATCTTTTGCCTAAAATGCAAGTAATGACAGTACTACAAGAAATAAGACCAATACAATATATTGTCTAATAACATAATTGGAGCAGGGCAGAAAGTCATCAGTATTGGTGTGCAGAGTCAAATTTTGACGGTGGAGGGATCCTGGGTAGATAATGCATAATGGCATCCTTTTTAGATAATGTAGAGTAGTATCTGCATCAAGTGGAGATAGGGAAAGTTCAAGAATTTTATGGAGTATACTACTCTGGCTTCACTAATGTTTTTCACACAAAAATTTAACAAACCACTTGACCCATACCAAGCTATTTGAGCTGACTATGCACATAAATACACCCTTCGAATTCCAGAAAGACCGAGAGAAACATAGTGAAACAGAGTCCTGATGACTGATTGATTATCAATAAGAAAGAGGGGTAATTGAGAGGAAGATAAACCACCTGAGACATTTCCAAAAGAAGCTATAGATTCAATAAAGACATCCAGAGCTGGAAAAGGAGATATCCCATAAGTATTTGAAACAGGAAAATCATTTCGATAGGTACCAATGGAGTCCTTGCTGTTTCTTCCTTGAATCTAACCACAGCACATTAGACAACCAATTAATATAACAAAATCAACAGAATATTTAAGTATATTTGGTACAGGACTTATAAGAAGCACGTGACACATTTAACCAATAGGACACTTTCGTAACAACCAATATTTTGTAAATTTTCAATAAACTATTCAGAATTAGTGAAGGATCAAAATGTAGGACACTTTTGTAACAACCAATATATTTGTAAATTTTCAATACAAAATTCAGAAATAGTGAAGCTTCAAAATGCACGAGTCATTTATTGCAACTTCTAAGCCACATAGCTAGCTGGTCAAAAAATACGTCAAACAAAACCTGCATCAGAGTTTGTGAAAATAGGGAATAATTATATTGGAAATAGATAAAGTGATAAATAGTTGCATTGGAATTTGACAGAGTAGGGGTATTAGAGTCTTTTAGGTTTTGTATTGGTATGTGTGGGATGGATGAAAAATAAACTTATTTTGGGTATTCCAGAAAATGCCCAAGCAGGAAAGTTGCAAGGTAATACAAGAAAGCATATATACTTACTCGTATCATGCTGGCTTCCGAGTCAAAATGCAATGTTTTCTTGCAATCTAAATCAAGTTTGCATGTCAAAAGTTTATGACAGTCATCATCTAATCTGCAAATAAGTGACTCCATAAAGAGCTCCTTATCACTCTGTAACATTTAAAACAAGCTGTCAGAGTGCAGGGGGGGACATATATCCAAATCTCATAACTCCTTAAGACAAACAAGCTGTCGGAGTGCAGGGGTGACATATATCCAAATGTCATAACTCCTCAGACAAAATGTTCCATGTTCACATGCAGTCAACAGAAGATAACATAAGGCAAAGAAGACATACAACACAGAAAAGATAACATAAAGTATTAGGATCGCTGTACTGAGCAGATTAGCCATACCAGCAGGCATATCAAACTGCAGTGCAGATCTAAATTAAAATTCATCTACTGTGTTTTAGAAATTATACAAGGACCTACTACCGAAAGGACAATCTGTGATACACTCTTTTGTGGTAACCGATGGATCAAAAGGTTTCAAGAATGGATCAGGTTCTGGAAACCAAGCAGTACTAACTAGTAACTACTCCTGAACTAGGGTGTTGATAAACTGGCTTGTTCAAGAAAAAAAAAACAGGGCAATTATGGACTATCAAAACAAATGTGATATTATTCTAAAAAGCCTCCTTGGAATAGATATAAAATTGATGGCGGTTCATCAGTCCAAAATTTATGTAGTCTATCAGAACTGGGGTGCCAAAAAGAGCTGATTTACAAGCAAATGAAAAAACTATCACTTTCCCACTGTGTAGACACATGTTTTTTTTTTCAGAAATGGTGTTGCTTACAAGTGTCAACAAATACAACACTAGCGAGGACCAGATCAACTAGTAGAGTACTTCTCTTACTGATTTCAGGAAAACTTGACAGGTCCAAGGCCATATAAAATAGCCTTTTTAAGTTTAAAAAGCAAGAAACAACTATTTTAAGTGAACATCTTCACTATTTCTGTATTTCAGCATCATGGCATGAAACAATAAACCATCAACTTTTTATCACTATTACAGGCTTACAATTATTCTCCGTCCCCAAAAAATTGTTCTACCATTTGAAATAGGAGACGTTTATTTACATCAAATCTCCAAGAAGAAATTAAATTTTCTAATGTAGTTGAAGAACAGAAACAAGTCGGCATGTGAAATCAAAAACTTGACATTAGGAATATTTATCGAGAACAAAGAAAAGAACTTATGATCAAGGTCTCACCATGTTTTTATGTTTGAAACGCTCAGTAGCCACAAGAAATGACTTCTTCCCAGACTTCGATGAGAAGGCTAAACGAAAACAACGATTCCGGGAGTAAACAGCAATATCCATAAAGAGATGATCAGCATGACCTGTACAACTGCTATCTTTCGTAATGTACAGTTTATCAAAGTTAGGATTAGCTGCACGCTGAGATGCGATCCGTGAGCAGATCTGCAAAGAAGAGCAATACTTCAGTGTAGAAAAAAAATTCCAATCAACCACGTCGATTCTATATTGAACCAAGCAAAGCAAAAAAGGCAAATGTTCTGAACATAAATCCCATGGCCAGAAAAAAGGATACACATCTTAAGTTTGTTGGCAAACATATATGCAGAACATATATATTGCAAATCAATTGCTAGTCAGCGTTGATGTACACACCTGTAAAGTAGAAGAAATTTATTCTGGTTCTTTCTAATTTCAGAGTTGCATTTCATTTTACCAAAAGATGAATTGACTAACGCAGGAGGCCCAGAAGTATGGCAAGAACAAAGATAGGTTTCTACTTTACTTGTAACTTGGCATCAATACAGAAATGTGCAAGTGCTCAAAGCACCTCTAGTGTAGAAGATAACAACTCATTAGCATAAATACATTGTGTTTCATATGGGCCTTACTGCGTACTATAGACCTATTCCATTTTGATTTTTTTTTCCTCAAAAACTTGACGTATGAAGACAAAGTAAATTCAATTTTGGAGTGAATAGATTAGTTGCAAGCCTGGATTCTCTTCGAGGATAAACAAATAAAACTTGTGTCCATCGTCATGGGGAGGATGAAGACAGACTAAAGAGTTAAAGAAACTATTAAATAGGTGAACATGCTCCACTGAGTAACTAGATCCTATTCTCAGTGTAGGTGAGAGCATGTTCCATGTATCTGCTATCAGGGTCAGGGTCATATACTATGTATCCATGGTACAAAACATTTTCATTCATATATTTGTTCTATGTTTTATTTTGGAGCATTGCTGAAAGATATAGACTTAGAACTGTTCCTTGCTTGAATATAACTAGCTCAACAAAACATAGAGCACTTGAAAATAACAAATCTACTGATGATAATAAAACTGAAGATTGAGATCGAATAGTACCTCAGAGATAAATGCACCAACATGGGAGTTGTCCTTGAATGCAGTCTTCGGTATGCGGATGATCAAATGGCGTGAGAACTTTTCTAAGCAAACAACAGAAGTTTTCATATGAGTACCAGTATGCAGCACATAAGGTTGTCACAACGATTGAGATTGACCAATACATAATGTAAAAAGGGTATGGGGGTCGCATAGTAGATCCTTCCTGATAATTAAAAAGGTAACTTCCTTTCATTCTCCCCCCACTCACATGTAGGATTAGCTTGTGGATGAAATCCATATATAGAGTGCACAAAAGCCAAACTAATTCTTGAACAATTGCTACAACTCTTCTTAAAACTTATTCAAATATGGCCTATGTTCAATATGGTAAGTATTCCTTTTCCTATCTTCTCAACTTGGATATCCCTCAGCTTCTATGAATAACCCTACCTTAAGACTGAAGTTTGAGAACTGCTTAGGCTCAACGGAGACAATGTCTCCATTCATCATGCATAGCATCCACTTAAAACATATGATTCATAGAAACGCCCTACAGTACAAATGTATTAGACTATTATAGAAAACAAAATCCTTGTGTAGGATTAGGCAACTAGCCATCCAGAAGATGCAAAGGCTAATCTTATTCATCATAAAATGATCCCACTGATCTTATTGACATAATTTTATAGGTTAAACACACATGCAAAAGGAGGTAATAAGGCACCTTCAGTAGACGAGTCTAACTCTATTATCCATTCCTCCTGTCCTTCAATGGAATATTTATCATGCAAAGCACTGAATGTGGCTGCAACCAATATATCCACCATTTCATCTGCATCTCTCATCTTGTTCAATCTTGGGTCAAACTCAAGATCAAAGTAAATATGGCAAGGTGAACCCTGTAGCATCAAAATTGATGTAACATGTTATTGGCTATCTAGGGTATGACCGTTTTTCAGACATTTGTTTGTACGACTATATGCAGGTTGATTCCTCATCCTAAAAGATAGCACTATCTTCATGATGTAACAGAATAATTCCCAAACAATAATGATTAAGAGGATATGCACAAACAAATATATTTGCAAATTTGAGGCCAGGATTCTATGGACATGATTCCAAAATTAAGGCCCTTAGAGAAGGAGAATTCCCGTCAAAAGAGAAGTTGTGGTATCAAGTATGTGCTTTACCAAATATTTGATCACATCATTACCATCAGGTTTGGGAAAAAGAACAAGCATATGAAAAGCGTTTTTATGCAACTACTACTTGGCAGCATATAATATTTTTACCATTTCAACAAAATACAGATATGGATACTTACATCCTGTATAACTTCATAGTGATGGCGAATCTGCGGATCCATATTATTGTACCTAGAGAAGGTCACAACATAGAACAGAATAAATCCATGGAGATAAAAGGAAAAGAAGCATCTTAAATTAGCCAAGAAGTGATGAACATTCTAATATGTTATATTATTAAGAGAGGGCTAAAAGGAACCACCACGTTCACTCTCAAGGCTAGAAATTAGTTAAAAATTAAAATATTTTGTTACTTGGAGGAAAAAGAGAAAGACCTACACCTGGTAGGACCAGATTATAGATGGAATGATGGATAGCTACAATTATACTTTTACAAATAGAGATAGATTTGTATGGAATTTTCTTTTTTTTACTACCTCCGTCCCAAAATATAAGAATCTAGGATCGGATGAAACGTTTTCTAGTACAATGTATCTGGACAGACTAGGAAATGTCTCATCCAGTCTTAGGTTCTTATATTTTGGGACGGACATAAGAAGGTAGAACCAGCTCTACCTTATAGCCATTTCGTTGATAGAAATGATAAGTTACAAAGTTGCATGAATAAGGGGAAAATGAGAAAAGGAAGGGATAAAGAGAAAAGGATATATAGAGATAAGGGAATGTACAAAATATAATTCTGTTTAAAATAATTCTGCACAATTGTGCAAGAAATTTGACTAGTTTCATCAATGAGAATGCGTGGCATGTTCCAAACTCTAGTAATAGGCCATTACACAAAAGAAAAATTAGGAATCAACAAGGTATGTCAGAAATGCAGAGGCACACAATGTATCATGGTCACAACCTTTTCCAGAACTCATCGTATGTAGACACGAGGAATCTTCTCTGCCCACTTAAATGATCTTGGTAGCTAAAGACATTGGTATAAGCATGTGCTTTACAGAACCTGATTGCCTCCTCTTGCCTAGGGAAGGTTGCCCAAACACCGGCACTGCACACCCAACAAACAAAATTCAGAACAAATGGGGGCTCATTTGCTTTGAACAAATGCAACATCAGAACAGATCAGAGGTTCAGAGACCTGGGGACCAAATCAGTTTGCTTCTTGAGATCAATTCGGATCTCCCGCAACAACCGCAACAGGCTGAGCGGCTTCTTCACCGGGACACCTTGCGGGGAACCGTAGAACACAACCGGGGACATCTGCTTGCGGCCAGTAAATTTGATCACCGCCGACGACGGCGCCTCATGCTGGATAGGGAAAACAATCGTAGCAGTTCATCACTTGCCTCTTACGTACATTCTAAGCTAGAACCTCATGGAGACCCCATCACGCGCACCTTCTCCGCCGCGTCCGGCGTAGGAGTAGAAGAGGAGGAGCTCCCGCCGCCGCCGCCGCCGCCTCCATCCGCCGTGGACGCTACCCGCGACCTCTTGCCCGCCCGCCGCGGCCTCTCCCTGAACGCCGACTCTGAATCCACCCGATTGGAACAAAGCCGGATCAGAAATTTGGGGGGGAAAGGGAAAGAAATCGCCATTTTCGAGGTCCAGGAGCTTACGGGGAGGGGAGACGCCGCACTTGAAGCAGGCGAAGAGGCGGTCGACGTCGTCCTTGGGGTCGTGCGCCGCCATGGATTGGATTCGATGCGAGCTTGCCTTCTTCGCGATCTCTTCTAGGGTTTAACCGATTTCGGGGGGCGCTAGTTACAGATTCTTGTGGGCGGGAAATTGGTTTTCGTTCTCTTTTACATTCGCAGTGTGTCTCGCCGTTATAACGGAATAAAAATGACAAAATTTGTATGTATAAAACTCAAAAGATGTGATATTAGCTACTTCATATTGAGAAAATATAGTGCTGTTAGACATTACAAAATTATGATATTTTCTTTCTAGACACCACGAGCATTATTATATTATTTTCATACGATTGAGGAGAGAGAAGCCCTATGAGTTTTCCATTTTACCCTTATGTCCAAACTAAATTTTTATGGTTAGCCCATTTCTCATATTATGCAGATCGCCGGACGCAAGATGCACTAACTCTATAGATCGATGGCCTCTCCTCCTACCGTCCAACGGCAAGGCATGGTTGTTTTGTGTCCGTTAGAGAGGAGTCTCAGGATTCAGATCCTCATGCAGTCACATTCAGCCTCCTCGTCAACCATGCCGGCACCTGGAGAGTCTGTTGCTTGTGGTCGACTGGTTATCATCCAAGTTTGCAACCTCGCGGAGGCCAAGGAGACCGGATAGGCCACAGGAGAGCAGTTGGACGTGCTCTTCTTCATCTCCCTCGACACCAATGGAGTCAGTAGTGCAAGGTCCGAACGAAGGCCAAGACAACAATTTGATTGACGATAAAAGAAAATAAAAGCCATTTGAATAGAAATATAGCAAGTATTAATATAAGAACTCATGGGTGAAAGAAAATTTTAAATAGAGCTATGCATGAAGAGATCAGGCTCGCTGGAGTTTTCATCGAAGTTGAAGAAGAATGCCTTGGTGGCTGTGGAGAAGATTGGATTGTTGCATGGAGAAGCTAGACTGTCATGCAGAGCAACCTGCAGTGACAAAGGAGGAGAGCCTGCAAGCCACTGAGCGAGACTAGCCGGAGTACCGAAATGCTACCAACATGCTAGCCAGTGGCTCCCTCCCCATTCACGAATGCTCCAGGGAGAGAGATGTGTGACTGTCTCCGATTAAGTGAACCAATTCCTTCTTTTAAAAAAAGAAGTGAAAATGAGAAGGGTACTTAGGTCATTCTTTGTTATGTTTATCTTTTGATCACTCAGATAGATTAATATTATGTTAACGAGAAGCATGTCCACTAGCAAAATACTACGAATTTATATTGCCCAACAACAAATTCAGATTCTTACGATGTCTTATAGCTAACTAAACTTTTCGAGTATCATGTAGCAAATTTTGTCAATGAAAAATATATATTATGTTACTCTGACTTTAAATATGATTTTCTTTTTAACTCATGTGAAAATTTAAAAACAATCAATCCCTTTGGTTCCAAAATTCTTGGGGTTTTGGACATGATCTCACATACTTCGGTAGCAAGAAGTAATTTGGTAGGTTACCTATTACTTAAATCACCTACTAAATTATAAAGTTTGGCATACATGATTATATATTAAAAATATAATTATAAGATATGGAAGTTTGTACTTAAAAAGTTACCTATCCAGTGAAAAAGGTTAATGTGCATTCCGACTAGTTTAGAATTAGGGTTCAAAGGTGGGGTGGGTGGGAGGGACGGGGCATTGGGAGGAGGAGGTGGGGTTTTCTTAAGGCTTGAAGGGATGACCGAGGGAGTGGTTGATTGGTCTTGAGTAGCGGTTGGCGTGTTGCCGCTGGTGAATCGGATGAGGGCGGTGGGTGAGGTAGGAGGCGGCATGGCGAAGCAACGGAGTGGGTGGGGACGAGGGAGGACCAGAGGAGGGGACAGATCGGGTTGTGGAACATAAGGAATCACCTTGCCAGGCCATGGTGCTTTGCCGCATTGGTTGAAAACAAAACGAGCAAGAGGAAGATGACAATTTTGTATACGGTTATGCCAAAAATTCAGCCGGTGCAAATATGCACATGGGCTAGGAATACATTTGTGTGCCTCTAGCCCACGCGACACATGTCCTTTAATCTAAGCTCTATCTAGTTGATTATCCATGTTACTGCAATTTTGCCTATCCGCAGGGAGACGTGATTAATGCAGCTGTAGGTAGACTACCTCACCTGTTGGATGCTTTCCAGGCAGAAGTCATGGCGTGTTTGACCGGAGAGCTGCGAGTGAACATGGCATGAGTCATGTGGTGTTTGAAACTAATTCAATGGTACCAAAGAAACTAAACGATTGGCAATCACTAGTGGGCTAATCTACAAATCGAAGAACCCGATCAGAATTAGTTTCATTTCTTGTTCTTTTATTTTTGCTCTTCGAGTATGTAATAAAGTTGCTCACGCCTTAGTGGCATTGGTTTGTAAGTGTCCCCACGATATTGTCTGATTTATCCCCAAACCAAACACATGCTAAATACTCAAAAATCTATTAAATCTCAGTATAACCTTTTTTATCTAGCCTGTAAATTTTGTAGGCTAAAATGTTAGGCCCATTATAACCCAGTGGCCCATGATTACGCTGCGTCTCAAGTTAATGGAAAGCTCTTTTCTGCTCGAAAAGAAAAAAAAAAAGGAACACAAAGCAAAATTTCCGAGATATTGGGCTGTTTATTTTCCTATAAAGTTAAGCCATAAAAATGTCATGTCATGTCATGGAATATCGCCTTTACTTTTCTGTGAACCAAAGAGGTTTAATAAGGAGAAAGAAATCCTTGGAAGATTGTGGCATCCAAGTATCAAACCATACTCCTATTTGTTTCTATTTGATGTGCAGAAACGAGTTGAGTTTGCTTATGAAGATGCTCAGGAGTTATTCACTTGTTTGACGATGCATCACATATAGGAGTACATATTACAACTCTACAAGCTTTGTCCTTCACTCCTTGTATGTTGGTTCCAACTAAAATTTATTATTGCCTGATGACATCTATAATTGAAATAGAGGACAAAAAGTTATTCAGTTATCTTAAAAACATCAAATTTTAAAATGTCGGTATCCAATTATCCACTGAACATGAACAATGCCATGAACATCCATTACGCGTGCAAATAACACCGAGTCAGCTGACATATTCATAATGACCTTGTGAAGATCTTCAATTGAAATGATACACGCCGTTTAAATCAACCAAAGAATTAACATGATTTTGTGTAATTTAGTATGGTCCATGGATCAAGTACCACAAAACTATACAAAAAGAATGATATTGCATTTCACACTTCCTATGAAAGAACGACGATGGATTTCTGTACAGAAATCAGGTAGCTTAATCTACAAGTGAGTCGGCAATATGGAATATTTTGAACAAGATGCTGGTGGAAGTACATGTAGTCAGACGACTGCATCAGATCGAGTAGGGAATTCAAGGCCATGAAGTGCTCCAATGTTGTGCAGATCCTCAGCAGAGTACAATGGAAGAAACCAGAGCAACTTTTTGGTGCCAAAAACCTGCAGTAAATTATTTTGCTGATATGAGGAATGTAAAAAGGGGAGATGGAGAACTCAAAATGCAGTAAAGAAAACCTGCTCCAAGTTTTTTCTCCATCCCAGGTCATACTTCCATGAGACTGAATTCCTTCGCTCATGGACCTGAAATAAGTTCGATCAAACACACATCGGCATGACAAGCAAGGAATATGATATGCTATTATTCAATTGGGATCTAGGCCAGATTCTGAAGAAAGTCAAACCAAAAGCCAGGGTGCTCTTGTACCACTGGACTGGCGATAAAATAAAGTAAGATCATGGTAAAAAAACAACCAACTTTTCTTTTCTTAATTAATCTCAACTTAGAAGAAACATTATGTGAAATGAATTGTATAAGTTCAACATAAAATTACTAATGAATTATTTTACATTTGTTGTAATTTGAAACTCCCTCAAGTAACAGGAAGCTGTAATTATAGTGGCGAGGCGGTGCCTGAGGGTGAAGGCGGAGCAGGAATCACACCAGGCGACCGGCCGCTGGCAGCAGCTAGATGCTTCAAAGACAAAGCGTATTGCAGCGCCTTCTCCTATGGACAGAAGAGTATCCGTGGTCCAGGAATTGGTTGGGCCCATGCGTTCGGTCCATTTAAAACCAACAAAACTCCACCCAATACCAATAAAATCCAAACCATTTCACTAGCAGGACCAAATCGAACCAGCCCAATTCTTACATCAACCCATTTAAACCCACCCAAAATCAATCCACTCTTAAATCCACCAATTCAGTCCATTTCAACCCAACCTAGTAGCACCCTTACAACCAAGAGATCAAGAAATTCAACACCAATCAGTGCGTAACAACTTCATACATGAGCTTGGCTATCTTAGCTCTCCTAAGCTCTCCAGATCACAAGCAAGGAAATTCATGAAATTTATGCCTTTGATCTTTGAGAATTGCATGCATAAACTACTTGAAGTTCTTTAGCTTTACCACTTTGGTAACAGAGTAAATTATCCAAACCGAGCTGCTCACTTGAAATAATTGTACAGTTCTGAAACATTTGTACATACATGGTCCTACAAACAAATATTGCAATTTGAATCTAGTAGTAAATTGTGGACATATTCAGAACAGTGTCTAGATCCTGATTAACAGGTCCTCCAGTGTAAATGACAGCATGAAATTTAGAGGTTTCATGGAGGCATTTCTTAAGATAATAAGCATTACAAACATTAAGGCAAAAATCTATAGTTCACCGAATTACCTCTATAGAAGTCGTATTACTTGTAACAAGAGATGCGTGCATTCCAATGAAACATAGAAGGCTCAGTGCAAATGCCAAATTAAGAACTGCAATAAAGGTCTACTAGTAAGTAACTTGCACAATTTTGAGGCGAGTTAAAATGCTTCGAAGGCAGAGGATACCAAAAGTAACAAATAGAATAGCAATATCGCCAGGTGAGCTGGAACGTCTGCTTTCATCTCGGAAGAACTCAATAAAGTAAGGAAGTAGTACCAATGTATCCAACACTGTTTCAACAAATGTATATACCTAAAAGGCAGACAAAATGCAATTACATAGAAAATAGAAAGAATTAATGAAGCTAAATAGAAATGGTCTATAAAGTATATACTATAGAAGATGCTAGTAAACAGAAAATATAAAATAGTCTTCAGTGACTTGTTTGATGTTTTGGCACTTGAGACTAGAGAAGAAGAATGTCTTGCTCATTGATATGAAATTTATGAATTTATGTAGTAGCAAAAGCCAGTGCTCACACACCAAGCATATCATACATTGATTGTTAGCTTGTGAGCATGCTAACTATAAAATAAAAGTACAGCAAAAAAGTGGAACCTGGAGTAAAATTTTGAAGCCTTTAAGGCTTTATAAATACTTTTCAGGTCCCCAAATTACAGGGAAAAAATATTTTAAGAGGGTTGAAGACATTCTCCCTCCATTCTGTTTCACTTGTCTCCAACACAAATATTGGACCATTATCCATGAAAAATATGATGCTATGAAAATATTTTTCACAAAAAATCTTAATGTTTCTTTTTTTTCATACCTAGAAGCCAAAGTTTTTAAGGTTTGACTGCACACTTTCTAAACCAATACTACCGAGTACATTCCTACGTCTATTCTAGCAAGGAATTTATGTTCCATGTATAGTTCAGATAAGCAAGTTGTCTACAAAATACGAAAGGAAGAAATTAGCACCCTGCCCAACTTTTCTAAATGTGTATGTATTCAGTGATAGGTTGAGCATGGATAAAACAAATTATAGCATTATAAAAATCGAAATCTATGTGGACACAGAGGGACTGCTGAGTTTGAGAGGAGAGGAAAAGAGAAGATTGAGAAGATACGCAAAACGAGGTGAGCCATTAGCGCGTGATTAATTGAGTATTAACTATTTTAAACTTCAAAAAAGGATTAATATTATTTTTTAAGCAAATTTCATATAGAAAATTTTTGCAAAAAAACATACCGTTTAGTTGTTCGGGAAGCGTGCGCGTGGAAAACGAAACAAACCTTCTCTCTTTCACCGAACACAGATGTTTTATAGAAAACTTGTCATGAATGCAAATGATAAGAAATTGCAAATCAAAGTGTTTCGGAAGTACCAGGAAAAGGAGAAAATATTTGTAGTTCCTTGCCCCAACACAATTTACCACCCAAACGCAATGATGGTCCATTTTGAGCACACATCTGTTACCTGCGTAGGCAACATCTCACGCTCAGAAAAAGAATAAGGAGAATGAACATATTACTTGAATTTATTCCTAGTAAATTCCAAGGACAAATTAGTAGTAAAGGCATAAAAGATGGCAGATAATCAGTCAAGCATGATACAGACTAAAGGCTTGTTCACTTTCTTGTCACTTTCAACCCTTACCATTGCTACTCTACCAACTTTTGGTAATTCGGGAAGTTTCCACTCTCAAACACTACCAAAATTTGGTAAGGCTTTAAACCAATAGACATCCAACACGGCCAAGTTTTTGTAACGACAAAATAAGCAAAAATTTGACATTGCCAAAATGTGGTAGGTTGAAAGTGGCAACAAAGTGAACAAGCACATTATTTATAATATGAACAACTTCAAATCAGATTTTTTTTTTGGCTACTGTTGATCTTTACCTTTCATGGAGTTGTAACTTATAAGGTACCCACTTACTCTCAGAAATCAAATACCTGTGTTATTCGGGTTAGCATGAAATGGAAGTGTATCCTAGAGTGTCTTTCAGTAATTGAGTTGGAAGTTTATATCTCCAAGCACAAGAGGTTTAATTTATCATGTTTGAAGTTCAAAGTTTTTGGATGAAACTTGTGCATTTCTTTTAGCTAAAACTGGTGTTTCCAGTCCTTTCTTATTTTTTAGTAGCACGAATTATTCGATTTTAAAGTGTTCAATCTCAGTTCTCAGAGTTTCAAATGTGCAGTTTGAAAGTGTTCGATCTCAATTGGAAAGTTCAAAAGTGCTTAAATTGTAAGTAGAACTCAGTGCCAGGTTGAAACTGGAGAGGAAAACCAGAGGGAACTACATTCTACAAAAAGGAAAATTAGCAGTGTGAACCGGTTACAGTGAATTATTGGATTTGGTGCGCCCAAATCTTATTGCCTCAAGGCATATATCATCTTAATGCTGGATCTTCCACACTTCTGGATGGTACATGTGATCGGTTAGATATGCTATACTATAACTGGCTACTGCTCTTTGTTTTCTTCCACTAACTTTTGGTTTTATGACAGACACTTGACAGATTTTTCATTTCTTCAATCATTGCAAAGACAATGACAAGAGAAGTAATGATATAGATCAGGGGGCAATGATTAGCACAGTACTGCAAAAATCAGATAATTTAGATCATGTGCATCACAGACAACATTCTATGTATTTTTTTGCTGAAAAATGGAGATTGCCTAATGTAAAAAAGGAATTATGTGGAATATGCAAAACAGTGAGTATAAGTTTATAGATTAAGTGTCATTATCAGGAAAGCTGACTTACAAACAGAACAATGGTGACAACGAGGCGGCTTGCCATTTTGGCAGCGAGAACAATATTTTTGTGCACTTTGCCCTTCTGGATTGGGGTATGTAGCATCCCAATTATATGATATAGTCCTAGAGTTCACACCTATGCCATCCTCTTCAGAAGCATGTCTCCAGTTTTCAGGTACAGCACCAGGATCGGTGAAAACAACCATCAAGTAGCACCATATAATCATTGCAAGCTGCAGAAGAAACAAGATCCCTGAAGAAGTTTTAAGACAAACAATCAAACACAATCATGGTAAATTATTCTCCTTCTAGAAAAGGAAAAGTCCATGATAACAACTAAATAGCATTTAGAGATGTCATGCATAAATGAATTGTTCTCAGTATAGTTGGATGAATCAATATTTTCTTTGCCTTCAAAATTTCCAGGAATCGAAACTCCTTGCTTATAATATGCTCCCTCTGATTTCAAATATAGGTTGCTTTAGAGTTGTGCACAGGAATTAAGAAAGTGTTAAAATGTACTTGTTGCCCTGTAGTTACTATACATTGGAAATGGTACCTCATTCATACATGAGAGTAGTTTCTTGATTAGCAAGGGCATAAAAAGAAAAAATAGAGGACGAGTATCTCGAGGTTATATGACAACTCACAATTAGAGAAGAGTAGAGAATTCTAAAGTGATCTACATTTGGAATCAGAGGGAGTAGAAAACACTAAAAGCAAAATACTAGTATGATGAGTAAAAGGACTAAAAGAATTCTTCAAAAAGATTAATGGAACTATCAGACCGGTCATATCATCAAATGTGGTTTATCTAACACTAGGGAAACTGTCAACCAAGTCATACCATCAAATTTGGTATATCTATTCTGCCAGATAATAACATCTAACAAAAAATGGCATGGAAGAGGAAACTATGTGCAATGAATACATTCCAAAATGATTATATATGCAGACATATTCAGATATTTTAGTGCACAAATTCAACAGTAGAAAAGGATCCTCAATCATTTATAGGAATCATGGTCTTGACAATGGAGGAAAAATGGGCAGTGCTGTCAAAAATCATATACCTGCAGTCCTGCACCAACCTGATTGGGAGCCTGTTTTGTTCCTGGGTTAGTGTCAAGATTTTGTGAGGCACAGTGATACTGTACTGCCGTGTACTCATGGTATGGTGTCTCTTGGAACTCAAACTGCTGTGAACCTTATTGGACTCTGTTTTCTTAATGGAAATTGGGACAGGGTCATCAGGGTTCAGTTACAGCTTCTGAAACTAGGTTTTACCTTTAAACCATGAGTCCGCTCTAATTACAGAAATGCACTTTCACCTAAATTAAGACCAAATGTCAAACGTTGTCTAATCACGTTTAGAAATGTTCAATTATTTGGTGGCACGCCAATCCATAACCAGAAAAACCATGTTTTTCTTATCACGAGACCCAGTGAAACCATCTTTCTTCTAATTTAACTTATGCTCAACACCAATGGGTGACCCCATCCTTACCAAATAAATAAATAAACTGGCAATTTGTTCATCCTGCAGCGATATGTACCACCACATCCAACACATAGTGCCACATAGCTCAGTCACCGAACAACACTTCAAACCGAACAACACTTTTAATTCTATTGATCAACCAATAAGAATTGTCATTCAATGTATTCAATCTAGTTCTCACATAATTACCGGGTTGTGCCACAATTTGTTAAATTTGGCAAGCAAGAAACATTGCATGTGTGAAGAGTAAAGGTAAGCTGTAATTTGTATGTGTAAAAGGAATATTTTGTTAGAATCAATTCTTCTGAGTCCTGACATCCAATGGTGTAATTGAGATGCTAATTTGGCAAGAATGGCTGAAGTAACATATAGAATTCCTAAATTGAAAAGCGAAAACCGCAGTAGCAGAGGACTCCACCGCGTGATCAATGAGGAAGCGGGGAGATCGCGATCTCAACGGAAATCGAATCTAAAGTGTTCTGTCTAGCGCCACATATCGCAGATTCCGCTCGCAGCGTAGCGTACTAAAAATAGGCACCCAGAGAGAGAGGAGAGGGTGGCAAGCAGCGCTTACCAGTAGGTGGAAGGCGACGAGGACGGCCGCGGCCCCGGCCGCGGCGCCGCCGCCGAGCAGCAGAGGGCCCCAGGTGTAGACGACGACGGCGTAGTAGGAGACGGCGACGATGGCGGCCACGAAGGCCAGCATGAGGTACCCGAGCCCCCGCAGCGGCGAGCAGGCGCGGAACGGGTTCACGCGCCGGCAGCAATCCATTCTCGCGGTGCCCCCCTCACTACTCCGGCGAGGGAGGGACACGCGCGGTCGTCGTCGTCGGCGGCGGCGGCGGCGGCGGGGGGCGAGGAGCTAGGGCGTAGGGGAGGTGTCGGTGGCGGCGCGGGTGGGAGGGAGGAAACCGTGTGCGGCGGGGTTTGGTTGGGTCGCTGTATCCTGGGCCCACTTTGTAAGGACAGGTGATCGGATGGGACCCGTTTTGTCGCTGCATAGCAGTAGCAATATCTCACATCTCATATTCTCGAACAAAGAATTTGGAAAAAAAAATCTACACCCATCACTATCATAAACTAAGTCCTTTAAATTATAGAGGAATGGAAAATCAGAAAAATAGAAAAAACACATTATTGAAATACAAGTGCGAAACAGATAAATACAAAAATATAAGAAAAATTATTTGATTGTAACATAGGAAAAACATAGGAATCGGATAAGAGAGATAGACAAAAAAAAGAAAATTTTCCAATAGGTCAGAGCTCTTGCTAAGTTTTCTTTAAAATCTCTATAAGATAGTACATTCCATAGGAATTTCAAAGATATGATATGATTCAATGATTTGTTTCAAATGCTTGTAGGATCGAATCACAATAACTAAGCCAACCAGAGGGGGTGAATGGTTGGTATACCCAAAAACCGAAAACTTTTAGCAGAAATAAAAGTTACCCTCGAAATCGACGGAGATCGGTCTGACCGAGATTAATCTGCCGGTCTGACCGTGTGGATGCCACCGGTCTGACCGCCGTGCTCCTGCCGGTCTGACCGCCGATGTCGCCTGCCGCGTCTGAAGCCGCCACACGTCTGACCGCTGTGCTCCCGCCGGTCTGACTGCCGCTTGCCGCCGGTCTGACCGCCAGTGAGTTGCCGGTTAGACCGCCGAAACCCGGTGAAACACAAATCGAAGAACTCTTAAAGTGGATGACAACTTTATTGATTCTCTCTGTGTTTACAAAGTGCTCCAACAGCACTCGACTAAACTTGAAACCCTAACTCAAAACTCAACGCTCTCAAAAGTGATATTGGGAAGCCTCATGCTCCCCCTCTATTTATACATGTGGTAGGTAGCCTAAAACCACGAACCAAACTCATACTAAGAGTCCTAAACACCTTAGGAAACTCTCTAGTACAAGAAAGAAACTTTACATAACCAATCATACCAAATTTGGACTCCTTCCAAAATCGACTCCGCATCCCATACGCACACAATACCTCCATCGTATGCCATATGAAATCTCCATCAACCATGTGCATCAACTCTAGCCTAAGTATCCCGCATGATCTCTGACCACCACGGACGTCGTCTTATCCCCAAGCCGACTCCTGTTCCATCACCGCAAATACTCTCCCGAGGCATCGAGTCACCTACACATGAAATAAACAAAGAAACCATATTCCGAGACCAAGCTATCTCCAACTTGACTCATTAGTAGCAAACAACAGTATTACATACGTATAGTATCCATCTAGAAGCCATAATCATGAAATAATCACGGATATCCAAACAAACAACCCGAAACCGAAACTGACTCAGCGTCGGCCGGTCAGACCGCGGGCTGGCCGGTCCGACCGCTCGATCACTGCCGGTTTGACCGACACACACTGCCCGGTCTGACTGGTCACATAAAATAACAAACCTGCGATTCACCTGTGAAATCCAATCTTCTCCAAAACCACTTCGTAAATAAATTCCAAATAACAAAACAAATAATCTTCAATGCCCAATTGTTCATCACAGAATAATAATCAAAAACACCTTTTATTTTACAATCTCCCCCTTGATGAACACATTGGCAAACTCATCAAAAATGTTTTGGTGTTTGGAAAAAATAAAAACAAAAGTGGTAAAAAGCACACTTCGTACAAACGTACACATCGTGCTCGAAAAATCTAAAAGAAAACTTCTTCCCCTTTTTAAAAGAAAGAAATTCCCAATTGAACCAAACATGCTCTTCTCAACAACTCTCAACAACTCTCCAAAAATTCATCAACAACTCTCCAAAAATCTAAAAATTTTCACATTACTTCTCCCCCTTTTGACAATGATTTCATCAAGCATAGGAATTATGTTCATTAATGTTCAAAAGCTTAGCATACATATAGCATATCAAGTCATGTGCTGCAATAAAAAGAAGATGAACTCATTTATAATATAGCAAGCATGCATTAAAGTATAACCATGAACTAAAGATTTTACAATTAAGCTTGAATCAACAATCAAAATTCATGATTTCATACGATTTATAATGCAACATCTTAACAAGCACATAGGTTGAAGAATAAACACTAAACACATATATCTATTGCATTTATCACTCTTTCTCAAATAACCTTTAGCACAAAATAACCAAGAGAATTTTTTTTGAACCTTTTCTTTTCTTGAGCCTTTTTGCTCATATTTTTCTCTTTTATTCCGGGTACGTCCCTGTCGTCAAGACTGTTTCCAAGGATTTGGCACCCATTATTTTGCTCACATCGAATACGTCCTTGTCATCAAGACTATTTCCAAGGATTCGGTATTCATTTTTTTCATATTTTTTATTCTCTTTTTCACAATGAGCAATTAAAGCTATTTGAGGAATAACAATTCAATAAAGCATATATATAGAGCATTTATAAATCAAACCATATGATAGCATCAACATTGCATATTTACTTAATTCAAGTAGAATTTAAGTGTCATGTATCATCTCCCTTAAAAGTAAAATATAAATCTCATGAAAAGACTAGAATACATACAAGCTATGCTAGAGACAAATAAACCTTCAAAGTATTGCTAGCATGCACAAGAAAATACCATATGCATAAACAAATCTCTCTTTTCTCAATTTTTTTATTGTCATATTATTGCTTGATAAAACCATGAGTTACAAACTCCCCCTCAAACCATGCCAAAAGGATGAATTATGCCCAATTCACCACGAAGAAAAGCAAAACGATTAGAATCCAAAGGTTTAGTGAAAATATCAGCAATTTACAACTTTGTGTCCAAAAACTGCAATTCAACATCTCCCTTCTCAACATGATCCCTCAAAAAGTGAAAACGAATATCAATGTGCTTTGTGCGTGAATGTTGAACAGGATTCTTAGAAATGTTAATAGCACTAGTATTATCACAAAAGAGAGCTACTTTCTCAAAAGTAAGACCATAATCTTTCAAAGTAGATAAAAGCCAAAGAATCTGTGAACAACAACTAGCAGCAGCAACATATTCAGATTCAGCAGTTGATTGAGCAACACTAGACTGTTTCCTAGAAGACCATGCAATCAATGATGTACCAAGAAAATGACATGTTCCACTAGTACTTTTCCTATCAATTCTACAACCACCAAAATCAGCATCGGAATATCCACTTAAGCATATAGAAGATGAAGTAAAATACTAAATTCCAAGCTCAAGTGTATGATTCAAATACCTCATTATTTGCTTGACCGCTTGACGATGTGAAGCACGAGGAGAAGCTTGAAATGTGCACATAAACACACAGCAAATTGTATGTCTGGCCTAGAAGCAATTAGATACAACAAAGATCCAATCATACTTCTATACTCCTTTTGATCAACAGCTTCACCATCTTCATCAGGATCCAACACAGCTGTAGAACCAATTGGTGTTGAAATTGGCTTGCACTTCTCCATCTTGAACTGTTTCAAAAGATCCTCCGTATACTTCGTTTGATGCACAAAAGTACCTTAAGGTGTTTGCTTAATTTGCAATCCCAAAAAGTACGATAACTCACCCATCATGCTCATCTCAAATTCCCTGCGCATAGTCTCAGCAAAATCTACAACCAAAGCGTGAGTTAAACAACCAAAGATGATATCATCCACATAAATCTGAACAAAAAGTTGATTATCATCATGCTTAAGAACAAAAAACGTTTCGTCAACCTTTCCCATTGTAAAACCTTTCGCAAGCAAAAAGTTTTTAAGCCTATCATACCATGCCCTAGGAGCATACCATGCCCTAGGAGCTTGTTTCAAACCATACAAAGCTTTAGGCAATTTAAAAACATGGTTGGGAAAATCAGGATTTTCAAAACCTGGTGGTTGTTTGACATAAACTTCCTCCTGTATAAAACCATTTAGAAAAGCACTTTTCACATCCATTTGATACAATTTAAAACCTTTTGAAGCAGCAAAAGCCAACAAAAGTCTAATTGCCTCAATTCTAGCAACAGGAGCAAAAGCTTCATCAAAATCCAAACCCTCCACCTGGGTAAAACCTTGAGTAACAAGTCTAGCTTTATTTCTGACAATCAAACCATCCTCATTTTCTTTATTTTTGAAAACCCACTTGGTTCCAATAATATTATGTCCAGAAGGTGGTTCAACTAAAGTCCAAACTTTGTTTCTCTCAAAATTTTCAAGTTCTTCATGCATGGCGTTAATCCACGATTCATCAGTTAATGCATGTGACACATCTTTGGGTTCAAAAGAAGCAACAAATGCAAAATTTGCACAAACATCATGAGTCATTACCTTAGACCTTGTAGTCCGCTCACCTATATTACCAATAATTTGTTCCGGCGGATGTCGTCGTTGAATGTGCAAAGGAGCAGCAACTTCTGAAGTTGATCCACGTTCTGTATCAGTACTGGTCGAAGTAGTAATTTCCGGAGGACCATCTCGAACAGCATCAACAGAACCCTCAGCCGACGATCCTGGCCGGTCTGACCGCACCTCCTGTGGTGGTCTAACCGGAGGTGTGCTGGCGGTCTGACCGGCCTGGCGCCCGATCTGACCGGCCGAGCCGACCTCGTCGTCGGCGTTGTCGTCGCTCTCGTCTTCAAAAATACGACCATCCTCCCCCTGAACCTATAACAGTGTACTTGCAATATCGGGTCTAGTACCTGGACTAGCCTCATCAAAAGAAATTTCGCTAGTCTCAACGATTTTGTTAGTCTCCAAAATAAGTACACGATAGCCACGAGTATGTGCGGGGTAACCAAGAAACAATCCATCGGTAGAACGTGCCTCAAACTTATCCAAATTTCCAAATTTCAAGACAAAGCACTTGCAACCAAAAACACGCAAATGTGAAACTTTGGGTTGATGTCCAAATCGAAGTTCATAAGAAGTTTTTCCAAGTTTAGATCTCAAGAGAACCCGATTTGAAATATAACAAGCAGTGTTAATTGCCTCAGCCCAAAATTTTCTAGGAGTTTTATATTCATCCAACATCGTTCTAGCCATCTCAACCAAAAC